TACAAGGAGCCGATAATTTTACCTGCATCTTTAGCGATGAAACATATCTAAGAGTTCCACTTGAGGTCGTGTGTTTCAGGCCGAATATTCTCTCAAGGGACGGGGCTTCCCAGAGGGGGGCATCCGTTTATCATGTCTAGCGGTCGTCCGAAGGGGTCTGATATTTGTAGTTAAATAAATCCAAGCGTAAAATAAAATTTAAAAAAAATCGATGTCGGGTTCGTGAAGTTGGGAGAGGATGAAATTTTAACTCATACAACCCTCCATCCTAATTATCTTTAGCTGAATGTGACACAAGGCCTTATTATTAGATTCTTTGCAATGTTAGTAACTATTGTGACCTTGGGAGGGTTTACTGAATAGCATAATCACACGAAGGTTTGTAATGAATGATAATACTTAGGACAAGAACAACACATATAAGATTCGCCAGCGGCGCGTAGAAGTAGTCAACTGCTAGAAGTGGATCAAGTGCATCTCCAACAATCAAGTCAATCTCCAACTGCAGGATAACTAACAACCATCCCACACGGTCAGATGTGGGGCAAGGCCGAATTTAATGTGGGGTATCCGAGTTCGTACGCTCGGTCAAAAGTTCTCCGTAAACCCCGTCTATAACAGGAGGCGGGTAGCTGTTTCCAGAGTCGAGACTCTATCCGTCGACATAGCCTCGTTTGGGGATCCTCTCTGCCTGGAGGGAGAGAGTTTGAACAACACGGCTGGAGACGAATCTGCAACTGCATGATATTTGCGAACCGTCCCACGCGGTCAGTTGTGGCACAAGGCCGAATTTAATGTGGGGTATCCTAGCCCGTAAGCTCGGCACAAAAATTCCCCGTATAAAACGGGGTCGGGTAGCTGTTACCCAAGACGAGACTCTTCCCTTTTGACATCTAAGGACCCTCTCTGCCTCCGGGCAGAGAGTTTGAACAGTACACCTGTAGACGAATCTCCAACTGCAGACCAACATACATTATCTACTACTGTATTTTTGTGAATGGGAACATACACGTTATCGTCCGTAGGTATGCTACAAGAATAACTATTCATCCAACGCAGCTTGTTAGCCAACACACCTCAATAAGACATCGGTAGATGAAACTTATTTCAATAATGCAGAATGATCTCAGAATCGAACGCACGGGGTAACGAAAAGTTAAGCTTTTTAGGCGCCTTTTAGATATATACCTAGCCTAATTCGTTCGTCAGGTGTTATCAAGTGAGCACGAAAGAAAACAACATTGTAAGAACGTTATTTACTTTGTGAAACTAAGCGTACAGTCCAGAAATTCCAAACGGGTCGCGTGAGGTCTACGGATTGAAGTGTACCCCTGACTGCGCTAGACAATGGTTGAAAACAATAAATTGTCTTTGTTTTACTCAGGTTATCTTAATGTGGTACAGGGCGATAATAATGAAACGTCCAGCGAGGATCGAACTCGTTACAGGAGCTGTAAATTTCAAACACTCTACAGCATCAGTGAACAGATCAAGAAGACCCTATTAATATTGATTACCAACTAAAATGATCATAACAAAAATAAAATACGCGGGAAAAGAAGCCGAAAGAAGTTTTAGGCAAAGAGAGGAAAGCAAGAAGAAAGGACTAACTATTAACGGCAGCCGAGCAGAATACATGGTTAACATCAGAAAAGAAAGCCCATTGTCTGAGCTCCGTATTTGGGACATTAATGTCTAACAGAGACAGAAATGTAACTATTTCCTTAAGTAGAAACACGTCAAGGAAAATGCGAAAAAATAATTCTAATGAAGGCCGGAGATTACTGCGACTGTAATGTTGTGATAAAACCAACAAATACAATGAAGCAATCTCGAATGAATCAATATATAATGATAATGACATGACGACGGCTGGAGAGTAGAGCGGTCGAAACGTTGAGTTAAAAGCAACGGGTACAATGAAACTGACCTAAAAGAATCCATATGTAATAGTAACGACATGATGATGGCTGGGGAGTGGATCGGTCGAAACGTTGGGAGAAAGGCAACAAATACAATGAAACTGGCCTGAATGAGTCAGTATATGATCTAATGACTTGACGAAGGCAGGAGAGCAGACCGGTCGAAATAATAATAATAATAATAATAATAATAATAATATCGATAAAGGCAAAGAATTTAATGAAACTGGCCTGAAAGAATCAATATATGATAGTAACGACATGAGGAAGGCTGGAGAGTCGAGCGGCCGATACGGTGGGATAGAGACATTGGATACAATGAAACTCGTCTGAATCAAAATATAATAGTGATGACATGACGAAGGCTGAAGTGTGGAGCGGCCGAAACGTTAGGATAAAAACAACAAGTTGAAACTGGAGTGAAAATTTTAATGAATAATAGCAATGACATGACGCAGGTAGGAGAGTACATCGGCCGATATGTTGGCATAGAAATTACAAATGCAGTGAGAAGTATTGAACTAGATCAATGTTTTAATAATAGCAGCAGGCTTTCTCTGAAATTTCAAACAACAAAAAATCAATGTTTGATAGTACCGTGACTAAGGTGTTGAGCGAATCGCTCGCATTGACTCGATGACTTGTTGAAATGATTCGCTCTAACATAATTGCCTCATTTGCTTATAACAAATAGCGTATTCTTCCCCGAAAATGGTGATTAGATTAGGCGCTGTTTCAAGCTATAAATAACGATTTTTAACTGAGTTATTTGCTATTTCCGTACTTCGTCAGCAGAAGAATCAGCGGTCTATGTTAAATTGGTTTTACGTGTAAACCGGAAGTTGTAAATTATTAAGCAGCCTTCCGTGCTAAAGATATTCAAATTGGGCCGCCTGTACCTGTGCCAAGACAGGAACCATGGGAGATGATTCTCACGAATATATATCATATATTAACATAGTATGCGCATTATGCATTAAAGCAGTGAGTTATACATGACAAAATATAGCGAGTATATGAGAGTGGATAAGCAGTATATCACAGAAGATAGGCAGTATATGACAGAGGATAGACAGAACATTACATAATATAGTGAGTATATGACAGAGGATAGACAGAATATGACATAATATAGCGAGTATATGAGAATGGATAGACAGTATATGAGAATGGATAGGCAGTATATGACAGAGGTTAGGTTCTATATGACAGAAGATAGGCAGTAAATGATGGTGAATAGGCAAAACATGACAATATAGCGAGTATATGTGAGTGGATAGGCTGTATATGACAGGAAGATAGGTAGTATATGACGGAGAATAGGCAGAATATGACATAATATAGCGAGCATATGATAGTAGGTAGGCAGTATATGAGATTTGGTAGGCAGTATATGACAGAGGTTTGGCAGTATATGACAGAAGATAGGTAGTATATGACGAGGGATAGGCAGAATATGACATAATATAGCGAATATATGAGAATGGATAGGCAGTATATGACAGAGGTTAGGTTCTATATGACAGAAGATAGGCAGTAGATGATGGAGAATACGCAAAACATGACAATATAGCGAGTATATGTGAGTTGATGATGCTGCATATGAGAAGGGATAGGCAGTATATGACAGGTTAGGCAGTATATGACAGAAGATAGGCAGAATATGACATAATATAGCGAGCAGTAGGTAGGCAGTATATGACAGGTTTGGCAGTATATGACAGAAGATAGGTAGTATATGACAGAGGATAGGCAGAATATGACATAATATAACGAGCATATGATAGTAGGTAGGCGGTATATGAGAGTGGGTAGGCAGTATATGACAGAGGTTTAGCAGTATATGACAGAAGATAGGTAGTATATGACGGATAATAGGCAGAACATGACATAATATAGCGAGCATATGATAGTAGGTAGGCAGTATATGAGAGTTGGTAGGCCGTATATGACAGAGGTTTAGCAGTATATGACAGAAGATAGGTAGTATATGACGGAGAATAGGCAGAATATTACATAATATAACGAGCATATGATAGTAGGTAGGCGGTATATGAGAGTGGGTAGGCAGTATATGACAGAGGTTTGGCAGTATATGACAGAAGATAGGTAGTATATGGCGGAGAATAGGCAGAATATGACATAATATAGCGAGCATATGATAGTAGGTAGGCAGTATATGAGAGTGGGTAGGCAGTATATGACAGAGGTTTAGCAGTATATGACAGAAGATAGGTAGTATATGACGGAGAATAGGCAGAATATTACATAATATAACGAGCATATGATAGTAGGTAGGCGGTATATGAGGTGGGTAGGCAGTATATGACAGAGGTTTGGCGGTATATGACAGAAGATAGGTAGTATATGACGGAGAATAGACAGAATATGACATAATATAGCGAGCATATGATAGTAGGTAGGCAGTATATGAGAGTGGGTAGGCAGTATATGACAGAGGTTTAGCAGTATATGACAGAAGATAGGTAGTATATGACGGAGAATAGGCAGAATATTACATAATATAACGAGCATATGATAGTAGGTAGGCGGTATATGAGAGTGGGTAGGCAGTATATGACAGAGGTTTGGCAGTATATGACAGAAGATAGATAGTATATGACGGAGAATAGGCAGAATATGACATAATATAGCGAGCATATGATAGTAGGTAGGCAGTAGATGAGAGTGGGTAGGCAGTATATGACAGAGGTTTGGCAGTATATGACAGAAGATAGGTAGTATATGACGGAGGATAAGCAGTACATGACAGTGGACTGGCCGTATATGACAAAGGATAAATAGTTCAAATAGAACAAAAGTGGCTCATTTTACACATTGCAATTTAAAAAAAAAAACAATCTGCATATACTACCTATCCTTTGTCATATACTGCCTATCCTTTGTCATATACTGCCTATCCCTTCTCATATAAGCCGTATAAATTATTATTCTATTACGAAGGAAGATGGCAACCATGGCCCTCTACCCTTTCATGTCACATGTGCAACTTGCCTTGAAAGAAAAACGAGACATAAATTAACAATGAAGTACAATGGCTCGTCTAAGGAAACCGGCTTACGGCCATATCAGGTTGGAAGGCCGGATCTCTTACAATTACCGAAGTTAAGCCAGCCGGAGCCTGGTCATATCTAGATGAGTGACCGCTTCGGAAAACCAGGTGCTGGAAGATTAGATGTGCGGGTGGTATAAAGAGCTTATGGCCATATCAGGTTGAAACAGCATTTCTCTTAAGATCAGCGAAGTTAAGCAACGTCGAGCCTGGTCATATCTAGATGAGTGACCGCTTCGGAAAGCCAGGTGCTGGGAGATTGGATGTGCGGGTGGTATAAAGAGCCTATGGCCATATCAGGTTGAAACAGCATTTCTCTTAAGATCAGCGAAGTTAAGCAACGTCGAGCCTGGTCATATCTAGATGAGTGACCGCTTCGGAAAGCCGGGTGCTGGAAGATTAGATGTGCGGGTGGTATAAAGAGCTTATGGCCATATCAGGTTGAAACAGCATTTCTCTTAAGGTCAGCGAAGTTAAGCAATGTCGAGCCTGGTCATATCTAGATGAGTGACCGCTTCGGAAAGGCAGGTGCTGGAAGATTGGATGTGCGGGTGGTATAATGAGCCTATGGCCATATCAGGTTGAAACAGCATTTCTCTTAAGATCAGCGAAGTTAAGCAACGTCGAGCCTGGTCATATCTAGATGAGTGACCGCTTCAGAAAGGCAGGTGCTGGAAGATTGGATGTGCGGGTGGTATAAAGCGCTTATGGCCATATCAGGTTGAAACAGCATTTCTCTTAAGATCAGCGAAGTTAAGCAACGTCGAGCCTGGTCATATCTAGATGAGTGACCGCTTCGGAAAGGCAGGTGCTGGAAGATTGGATGTACGGGTGGTATAAAGAGCCTATGGCCATATCAGGTTGAAACAGCATTTCTCTTAAGATCAGCGAAGTTAAGCAACGTCGAACCTGGACATATCTAGTTGAGTGACTGCTTGGGAATGCCAGGTGTTGTAAGCTTTGTATGTGCGGGTTGTCAGGTTGAAACAGCATTTCTCATAAGATCAGCGAAGTTAAGCAACGTCGAACCTGGTCGTATCTAGTTGAGTGACTGTTTGGGAATGCCAAGTATTGTAAGCTTGTATGTGCGGGTTGTATTCAGCGGTTATGGGCATATCAGGTTGAAACACCATTTCTCTTAAGATCAGCGAAGTTAAGCAACGTCGATCCTGGACATATCAAGATGAGTGAGTGTTTGGGAATTGTAAGCTTGTATGTACGGGTTGTATGAAGAGCTTATAGATATATCAGGTTGAAACGCCATTTCTCGTAAGATCACCGAAGTTAAGCAATGTCGAGGCTGGTCAGGTACAGAATTGTACTTACGTTGTAGGTGTGAAAGCAATTGAAAGCCAGGAGGTCTAGTAAATCCAATTCTCCCTATAATAAAGGACAAAGTAGAAGATGGTAAATGGTTTTGACATGGTTAAATAGATTGCTTCCTCCTATGAAGCGGACATTTATGCCGACGGGAATTTATCTACGGACGTGTCCAGTGAGAACTTTAGTCAGCTGGAGGAGTAAACCCCAATGACAAAAGGTGTGAAACGGGTTTCAGCTCTCCAGCTGAATAGACAGGCAATCATCAACAGACCGATACATTGAATTGATATATTGTGTTCAATGATAAGCGACACGGTCAAGTACAATGGCATGGATCGACCAATTTTAGTTAACTGCATACGGGCTTTGCTAGTAGAAGACCCGACCAGTAGTGACAAATTGTATTTACAATGTAATAGTATCTATCTAGAGCAGTCTGTACATATCTATCTATCTGTTGATTTTCTTTCTTTCTTTTTTTCTTTCTTTCTTTCTTATTCTGTTCATTTTCCATCTAGCTATCTATTTGTTAATTTTCTATCTATCTATCTATCTAGCTAGCTATATATATATATATATATATATATATATATATATTTTGTTCATATCTATCTATCTATCTATCTATCTATCTATATATATATATATATATATATATATATTTATATATATTTATATATAAGTCTGTTCATTATATTATCTACCTATCTATCTATCGATCTATCTATCTATCTAGTCTGTTCATATCTATCTATCTACACACACACACACACACACACACACATATATATATATATATATATATATATATATATATATATATATCATGTCCATTATCTATCTATCTATCTATCTATCTACCGATCTATCTATCTATATTAGTCTGCTCATATCTATCTATCTGTGATATAGCGAAACAGTCTGTCTGTGGATGACAATATATATATATATATATATATATATATATATATATATATATATAGATAGATAGATAGATAGAGAGAGAGAGAGAGAGAGAGAGAGAGAGATACATGATGGATGTGGCTGATAAGTGAATCGTTTTTTTTAAGTGCGAAAAATCACGAAGGACAGAAGAAAGAAAGAAAGAAAGAAAAAAAGAATGAATTTAAAAATATATAAAGAAAACGAAAGGCAAAGAATGAATGCCTCTTAGAAAAAAAAGAGGAAAGAATTTAAAGGAAGAAGAAGAAAAAAGAAAGCAATTTAAGAATAAAAAAGGTAAAGAAATTAAGAATCGGAAGAAGAAATTGACGAGAAAGAAATAAAATGAAAGAAAGTTGAAAGAAAAATGCCCCAAAAATAATAAAGGAAATGAAAAAGAAATTACGAAAAAGCGTCACCATGGCATTCCAAGATTAGAACAATTCTTGGAGATGCTTGACAATGAGACAAAATGCAGGCTGAAGTGGATTCTTGCTTTTATGAAAGCATTCGGTTGAAATAAACAAAATCAGCTACGAATTCAATTTTCTGTACTAGTAAGCATTACGTTACATTGCACCGTTAAGGGCCAAGAATTAGGCCCATGGTAAACAAAATTTTACTGCAGGATCCTCTTTAGACTCGTCCTGTCACCTTGGGGCTTCAGAATACGCTGACTGCACCACCTCAGAGAAGTAAACCCGCCCTCCATGAGGTGACCTGGGTAACACGATAAACTACGTCCAGCAGCAAAGCCTCTGATCAGGAGATTTTGAGGAGCGTTGAATCACCTCTTAATTACTGGTATTCCCAAGTCCACCCTGACCCGGGGTGGTAGCACCTGTTAGGGTGCCAGCTATGGGTAAATAGTTAACCCTTAAACTGGGGTCAAAACACTATGATAGTGTAAAGTTAGATTTTATTACCAGCATTGAATTTTTTAAGAAAAAAATTATCAGCAATACATTATTAGTAGCAATACATTTTTGGAAAAAAAAATATTACCTTAAATAAAAATCTTGTCGGCTGTAAATAACCTATTGAGGTTGACATGCCTTAAAACAAAGCAAACCAAAGCAAACCGACGCTAGACGACGTCTTTATTCTCCATCACTAAATACGAAACCAAACTTGTACAAATTTCGATATCTTAGGGCCTTCACGAAATTTAAATCCGATTCCGCGCCCAGTTCATAAAATACGAATTAAAATAAGACAAGAACAATAAGATTTACACCGGAGAAAGAAAAGAAAGGACTTTATTAAAAAAAATTTTCCTCTGTCACAATTAGATCTTTTTCTGATTCATTCTACATGCTGGCCGGATGTGAAGGCCACGAACGTAGAACGAAATAACAAAAGTCATTTTCTGCGCATTAGGCTCCACGCATCACGTTCGGTCTGCAATCGCAAACATTCCTACCGGAGATGCCCTGGGGACTCCCTAACCCGCTTAAAAGCAGGTCTCTGAGAACGACCAGAGTTAGGTGGGCCCGAGTGGGCCACAGGCCGTCAAGCAGGGTTCTGCTGCTGCTGGCGCCAACGCCTTCAATGTGTTATAGTGGAACACACCTATTCTATAGTTAATAGACTCTCCCACCTATAATAAGTAAGAGTAACGAGTGAGTCGGTCAATCGGTGAGTCAGTCGATGTCGGACGACAGTTAGTCGAATTCTAAAGTATCAGCGACCACAACTAGATTACTCTGCGTCATTATCTATTATATCAAGTTCCTAACGTTTTGTACGTCGAACCTATTTTAGGATCGACGTAGTATAAATACAAGCCTCCACTGTGAAATCACTCCCCAACACACCGCCATCTCTCAATATGACCGCTCCTCTCAACGACTAATACCACTCCCAGGCGTGACTACCCACCTCGGTTATCCAGCTTCGACTTGATAACATCTGAACCTAGACTCCACCCAGCTACAATCCTTCATCGTCGATGACTCCACGGTAAATAGCGACTCGATAACATCTCAACGTCGACACCACTATGCTACAAGCTTTTCTCGTCGACAACGTCGTCAACTCGGCAAATCCAGCGCCGCAAGCGACTCTGACCCTGCAAGTAGCCACTCAGACCCTGCAACCAAGCGACATACTCCGTAAGTATGCAACCCACCGCCGTCACTTCAGCCTACTCGACTCGCTTACAAGGCATTCCCTTCGCAGTCTTCACCTCGGGCCCCGTTCAAAAGTACAGGCCTACCAACCACGTCAATCCGATGTCACCTTTTTTTATTACTTTAGACGTATTTACGATTATATCACGTCCAGGTATTGCTCGCCCTGTTTCCAGTTAAGTCAATATCTGAACTACACACATCAGAGATTGAACACACACTGACTATATCACCAAATTCTCGAACCACCGCTCTAATCTATGGAATACATTCCCTATGATTATTATAATTTTAAATATTATAAATTTATTATGAATCTTTTAATAAACAAAAGTTTTCCAACATTACGTGTATAGTGATATATCGAATATAAAATTAAACAAAAATTACTTAAAAAATGTATTAGCCTATTTATCAGTGTTTCTCACGGGACCCTCAGCGACCTCTTACTGAACCCTAGGGTTCCGGGGAACACTGATTAAGAAACGCAGGTGATGTCCACTAACCAATGAAGACGGTTTCACACAGACGCCATGTTGACATCGCTATGATTAATATAATTTTAAAATAATATAATTGGTTGATGGCTTTATTATAACAATCGAGGATTTGCCAAGAATATGTCATATGTGTTTAGTAAAATGACGAATATAAAATTAAACAAAAATTACTCAAAAATGTATTAGCCTATTCATCACTGTTTCTCGAGGCACCCTCAG